TTTGAGTTGCATACTTCCAAATAATTTGCATATGGCATTGAGTGTACAGTTTTTGTGACGTCGGCTGGAATAGTCTGGATAAAATTTGGCTACTGTGAGACTGAAGCTGGGGAGGTCCATATTCACTGCAGAATCAAGGTGAAGCATTTCTGATACATGCATGAAGTAGCAAGGATAAGGGGATGTAGCAGTGATACGTGCAGTATTTGGTAAATGTGAGCTATGAATATTAGAGAGAAGTTGTCCTAAGACATGGTTATGTCAAGTAGGCAAATTTCTCCTTGAGTTTTGGAGATGCTCAGATGTCTAGAAGATGGATAAATGACATCGGGGATGAGGCACTGGAAGCAGGAATCTGGAATTTCACTAGGATCATGGACCTAATTATAAAGAAGAGGATTTGGGGACACTGGATGTCTATCCAAAAAACAGGATAGTAAGAGAGTCAGAATATGCTGGAGAGAATGTAGAAATAATGCTGATTAAGTCCACATGAGTTTTTCTCTCAACAGCTGTTTGCATCTGCTAGCTCATCCTGACTCTCAGCTGCTGCCGCCTGTTCCTTCCCTATTTATCATTAAACACATCTCTCCGTTTGGGAGCCACAGCCAACGAGTGTGACGACTCTTCTCAGGAACACACCATGAATCTTGTGGCAACTGACGTTGGTTTTTGTTTGGGCTGTTTTTGTTTGGTTTTTTTTTTTTTTTTTTTTTTTTTCAGAAAGGTTCAGGATTGCTGTGACTAAGAACCGCAGCCATCAGTATTTCCCAACAACCGGAACGGCTGAGGCGGCAAAGGGGGCTGTGTGCAGGGGCAGGGTAGCCAGGACTAAGGGCAGTGCATGGGGGAAGCATGCATGGAGCAAGGGGGTCTCCCTCCACGGGGACTTCCAGTGACACAGACAAGGGACGACACAGCATCTCAGGAGGCCTCTCTACTAGGTGTGCTTCAGTGAGCCAGGAGCACGGGGGCTCAGTACCAAAATCTGGCTGTGGCCTGTGAACACCAAAGGGATGTTAGCTGCCACACGCTGCCGTAAGAAGGAATCTTCGGTTCATTTCATAAAGCAGTTAGAAGTTAGGGATGGATGCTTCTAGATGTGCAGTTTAAATGTTTCTCATCTGTGAAGCAGCAAAAATTAATCTTTGAGGCACAGTAAGAGCTGTTAGCCCCTCCACCAGCTCCTGATTTGCTCTTCTTTCCCAAGGATGATTGCAAAAGCAGGGACCACTTTTGAAACTATGCTAAGTACATTCCGATTATAAACAATTAATTCACATTCATATGTGATTGCCTAGATCCTCTCAGATCAGTTGCTGGTCTTTTCTGGGCTGATATTTGGAAAATATCTTTTGATAGACTAGCCTTTCTCTAACTGTTAGATTATACTTCTTTAAAATAATAAATTCAAAGTGCATATAATCAAATAATCAATTTTCTGCTTGATTTCTCCAGACTTTAAAGAACATGGCTGTGCATTTTTAATCTGACCTTATTAATGAAAAAACTGACTTCTTAGTAGATTTTTTTTTTTAACCTCTCAGCTGTACCTCTTTAGTCAAACACTGTGCTTCTGAAGTGACACTTCAGACAGTGTTTGCTAAATAGGTCAGTAACACCTTGAGATTAACTGGTTTAAAGTGCTGGAAGCGACAACCTCTAACCTCTCTTTCTTAAAACTGGTGATCCTACTGCTGCTAAGCCTATCTATCTCTAACATGTTCAATATGTTTCTTTCCTTTGATAAATAGTTCCTATGTAGAAATGCATTGGAATTTGTCACCTGTGTTAGAATGGTGCTATTCAAATTATTACTGGTTTTTTTTTTTTTGTTCTACCGGTGCCCTTCAAGGAGGATCCACTTCTAGGCAAAGGAGTTTCCATGCAAAGTTGAAAACTGGAGAATTTCATTAATGAAAATGCCAAAATACCAAAGTCAACTCTGCCATCTATGATTTTATTCTCATAGTTCTAGCCCTGGTTACACAAAAATTAACCTGGGAAAAAGCCGCTGCGTGGCCTGGCTCTGTGCTTCATGCCTTTCCCATTCCCACTGTTTGCTCTTAAGCGAGCTCTCCTATTCCACTTAGTGGTTCGCAAGCAAAGTTCAGCAAAGGAGCGAAACGTGTGGGGGTCAGCGCTGAGCCAGGCAGCATGGGGGTCCAGAGGAGGGTTGTGGTGTGGCTGGGCAGCTGCTGCTCGGGCTGCGGTGGCGGCAGCTCCCCTGGCCACCGGTCCCTGCTGCCACCCCCGGGGAGCGGAGCCCGTGCGGGGCTGTCCGGTGCAGCTGGCAGGGCACAGGCCTGGCCATCCGTCCCTCGCGTCTCCCGGTCAGCTGTGGCTGCAGAGGGAGTGAATGAAACCCGGCATCGGATGCTTGCAGCTCTTTAAGCTTGAAAAATGCCATGGGTGGAGCTGGCAAGATGATTGCTGGCTTCTAAATACGGAGGTGCTCCTTCCAGCCAGGGAGTGGCTGGAAATGCTGACAGCCCTCAAACTTGTCTTCACCGGGGAAAATTGTGAAACCTCTTTCCTCAGCTCCCCACCGTCTCCCAGCACATTTCACAAGCCCTGCTCAACAAGGGCTTCCCTTGCCTCCACAGGGATCCCTTGCCTCTGCCACGGGAACTCTACAACCACCTCCAGCCTTCCTGAAGTCTCCCCACCACCCTGGCCCTTCGCCAGTGCTTCCCTCCAGATGCTCAGGATCTGGATGTGCCATCTTAGTGGTCCTTCCCCTGGTTGTCAGGGGAGCCAGGGTCATCTTCTACTGGGGGGATTACAAGGGCAAGGGAAGATTAGACAGCACAGGAGCAGACCAAGTGCAGTGTGTAAAACCACCAAACAGGGGGTACCATGGCAGGAGGAGGGAGGGAAACCTTGGGGGAGTCCTGGAGATTTTGAGATGGCAGAAGTGAAGGAGCCCAAAGTGACCAGCTTTCAGAAAAGATAAAGCAGGAGGGTAATACTGGGGGGGAAAGGCAGCATGGAGTTCAGTAATAATCATATGTTAACTCAAAATGAGGCACTGCTAATATTCCCTGAGGGGATTTGCACTTCAAGCAAGGTAGTTCATCCAACATTTGCATTGACAGAGATGTAAGAAGGTCTGAGAATGAGCCTCAGGAACATTGTTCCCTTCAGCCCTTAGAAAGCCTGCTTAATATTCTGAAAAGTCACCCTAATCCTGGCAGCATTAATGCAGGGGAGACAGCAAGCCAACTCTTCCCAGTACATTAGGGAAGCAGAAGTAACACTACAGTGCACTGAATAATTCTGTTTTGACCTAAAATTCTGTTCCTTTACATGTTATTCATTTTTTGCTCTACATTTCTAAACTGTAAATGGCCTTCTAAGACCGCGATGGTTTTACTCAGCACAACAGAGCTTGGGAGCCAGGTCTCGGTCCATGTTAGTTGCCATGGCTGCACTAACCAGACGCTAGCCCTGCTGATTTGCACAGGCAATACACTGATTTGAGCCACCTGTTGTGTCCATGCTGTGCGTAATTAATGCAGCTGGAGAAATTCCTGCCCCTTCTGTCCTATCAGTCTGCCAGAAACAGGTTGCCTCTGTGAACACAGAGACACCAAGGGGACATGCACCAGCTGTTATAGACATACAGGCTGCATTTAACTAGGTGTGTGGCAAGTTACTAACCTCATCGATTAGCAAAAGCGCAGCAGGCCTTGCATATCTCGATATTGGTTTAAAATCTGTAGTAAGTCATCACTCGAACGTGATCTCCCTAAATCGGTAATTATCCCTCCTGAATCTGGGAGAACAAGGGATGCTTTCCCTGTCTGAACCAGGAACAAAGATATTTTACAGCAATTCTGATAAACCCGGTAACAAAACCTGCAGTCCCTTTAACCCTCTCCTGCCCAAGCCATTTATGCTGGCAGCTGGTTACATTCTCAGCAGGTCCTATCTCTGAGAGAAACCCATGGTAGAAAGAAGCTTAGGGAAGGGACAGTCCTAAATAACTGCCCATTGCTCCATTGCTGTCCTTGAAAGGACAGTAGAAAGGGAATGAGCTGAACCTCAGGGTACTCCACCGAACCCACTGGTGCTGGGAGGCCCCAGCCTGCTCCTGCCCTGCAGCACCTTCCCCCAGGTAAAACCCCAGCAATATGCCTGGCTGGAGTCAGAGCTTCGTTGCATTCAGTTTTAGGTGCCTAGCTTTTTGTCTTCACCTGAACACAGCAACTGGAGCATGAAATGCTCACTTTCACATTCAGCACAAATCCCAGCCTGTGCTTTATACCCCTTTTCCTTCCTCCCACCACTTTTTGGTATAGGACAAGAAATTGGAGCCAGCAAAGGGTTAACCCAAATGCAGAAGCTACAGGTTGCAACCAATCTGGCAACCTCCTTTTCCCTCTCTTTTCTCCCCCCTGCCAAGGATTTTTCTGTCACACTGCACACCCAGCCTTCCTGGAGCCACGCAGGCAGTGTTCCTCTGCCACGGTGATGAGCTCGGACTCTTGGGGGCACAATCACACTACATACAAACAATAAAACTCCTAGCTGCTATAATCACGTTATCAGCAATGAGTGATATGTTCTGTAAAAAATGCCTAAGGAAGCTGTTAGAGTATGCTGCAGGTGGTTATAAACTATCCTTCTGAGATCAATTTCTTGACAGTTGGTGAAAATATCAACCAAACAGTTACTGAAATATTTATTACCATTTTCATTGCCTTGTTAGGTGATCTTAGTCACCTAAGAAATAGCCATATTATTAGGAAGTATTTTGAGGGCAGAATTCAGACTCTCCTCTCCAACACGCACTCCCCAGCCACCCGGGATTCCATCAGCATTTTGATAAGCTCGTGTCAAGAAACGCTGCGCCCCTGGCTAAAAATTAGTTATTTAACGGAGCTACTAGAAAAATGGGATCTCTCTCTTTAAAGGTTTGACCCTGAGGCAAAAGAGGAGGGAAGGGAAGGAGAGAGAAGATGATAATCGCTTTAGATAACAACCTGACTCATGGTAATAGCAGCCTAATTGCTATCCAAGTGCTTTTAGCAGGAAACAGCCACACCTAGAGAGGCACCTGTGCAGAGGAAGATTAGTTTCAAGCGGAGGAAGGACAGAGATGGAAATGCACTTTCAGCTGAGCACAGTGGAAAGTAAGAAATAGTTCTTTGTTTATGTAGAAACTGCCTTAAATCCAAGGGCTACTTCTACTGCTTCAGATAATGGGATGTGACTGGTGTGTAATTTATGTGAGAAGCACGTACACTGCAGGGCTCAAAATGAAAGGGGGATTTATATTTAGGCAGGGAAAGTAAAATAACCATATGTGGGGAAGAAGTGGTTGATGCTGTCTTTCCGGAATAAATCAGCTTCTGCAATGATTATGACTCTTCCATGAATAAAATTTGTGTTAATCTGACAATATAAAATAAGACCATTACTTGAAAGTAGGTATGATTATATTAAGTGATCTGCTGGGAAGAAAGCTGCACGAGAATAGAATGATTTGTAGTTGACTGATTAATCAAATGTAAGTATCAAATATGCCCTCTATATGCATGAGCAATGCTTTTGCACATTTAAGATCCGTCTGTCTTCTCTGCTGCTCTGCAGGGCACTGTTATACCAGCGCATCCCCCGAGGGCCAAGCCCCCCATTCCCCTTGCACCCCTCTGACACAGCACCCCTGGAGTTAGCCCAGAGAAATGGAGGACGTTTTCCGCGGGTTTGGGCGGGCTCTTGGCCCCCGTTCCCTGGCTGTCCTTGCTGTTTCCCTCTGGTTGTCCATCACAGCCCTGCCGGCTGCGGGAAAATCGAGATATGGGTTTCTGAGTAACGGACGATAAAGTGCTGTTTTGTTTCTGCAGGACATGGTCTGTGGAGTGGGTAAAGTTGACTGTAAGAATCGATTGTGATTTCTGATGAAGGTGACAGATCTTTCAGCAAGGGTATTGATTTATGCATTCAACTCTGCAAGCTGCTTTCTACTACATCTTTTGCTACTCAAATTCAGTGATGTGAATGTCAATAGGCATGAACAAAGCCCCCATGTTTTGAAAACCCTGAATCTGTATCTGTAGGACATAAAAAACACTGTATTTTCTCAATTTTGCTGTCCTCTGCAAGCCATTTTAATAGATTCTAGTGTATCCTTTTATTCTGGGAGGGTTTCAAGAGATTTGAGAGATCCATTGGTAATGGATTTTTCATGCAGAACACACAAGTGTACCTATGCATTACCATGAATGTTATTTTCTCTTAAAAATAGAATTTTTTTCTATTTGTAAATTGCATTTGATCACAGTCTAGAAATCCTGTATGCCAGAAATTATCTATCTTGAATTGCTGAATAATAGTATTTGTGTAGGCTGCTATGGCAACAGATGTACAATCTCTGGATTCACACATCAAAGGTTCTTATGGCAACTGCTTTTTGGATACCCCTTCATTGCACAAACAGGAAAATATGCTGAGCTATCCCAGCAATCTCTGGAAAGACAGCAGCAATAGAGTAAACTGACATGTTTACTACCTTATATTTGGTTTTGAAATATACATAAAGGCATGCCTTACATTTAAAAAAAAAAAAAAAAACAAAAAAACAACAAAAAAACACACAAAAACCCACAAAGTCCAAAATGACACAGTGGAACCAATAACATGAAAACATTTTACAAATATTTATTATAAATTAGTATTTATATTATACTGATACTTAGAAACTCAACCAGTGATGGATTGGCATTGACAATATGTTACACATTATACAGACTCAAAGTAGGTAACCATCCTTGCCACAAGGCAGCTCTTTTTTGTCTTAAGATTTGGTGAAATTTTACAAAAAAGGACCTTCCTATTAGAAATACATATCAGGTTCAAATGACCTTGACCTATGATACATAGATCGTAGCAAAAGAAGTGGTTAGCCATGCCACTGAGCGTTCCATTTCAGCTTTCCTTCTGCATTCAAATGAACTGTTTGCATTTATCATGGGCTTTGGATTAGCCCTTATTTTTCCATGTGCAATTCTCTCAGCAAAGGTGAATTCTTCCTCCTCTTGCCCCTTTATGATCCTCGCTGTCCCTACACGACCACCTCGCAGCTGCGGGTCTGTAAGTAGCTGGCAAAGGTGGTGTCTGTCTGTGCTCACGGATCACCAGCGTCCCTTGTAACAGTTCAGTTCAGTGCAAAGCACACGGGTACACACGCACGCTCCTACTGATGAAGTCTGTTTGGAAACAGAGTTTGTGCTTTGCAAGAAGGGGTGGTAAATTCTGAACAGGAAGACACCAATTAAATAATTAGGGTTAGTATAGAAGAAACCATAAAGTGTCTATCCCCTTAGTATCTTTAAGAATAAATTATAAAAGCTTCTGTGAGGGATGTCATATGTAAAGCCATGTGGAGCAGGCAGATGAACTAGCTGACATTCTCAATTCTGTGTTTCTGTGGCTCTGCCATCACTGTGCTGGCACTTGCGTGGGTGTAAGCCTTCACACAGACCCAGGGGTAGGATGGCAGACTCCAGACAGAGGAAAGTTGAAGTGATATGTCAAGCACGTGGGGAAGAAAGCAAACATGTGAGCACCGGGAAAAGTGTCATGGGCTCTTAGTCATTTTTCTGCAAAATGTTTTTAATGTCTGATGCTTACTAAAATAAGCCTGCAGGGAAAAACTTTTTTTTTTTAAAAAAAAAAAAACAACAAACACTAAATCATCTGGTCCACAATAGGGGCTACACAGTTCAGATATTTTTACTTATTTAATATGTACTGGAAGGCTTAATTCAAGTGGTAGATGGTAAATGCATTTTTATGAAGCAGAAAAATGTCTTAAGAAACTAAAAATTGACTTTGCAGAACATAAAAGTTTTCTAACAGCAGGCTTTCAAATACTATGCATTAGTGTGGCTGTATTGGGAAATATGCAGGCTGGGTGTGCTAATTTCTGAGGATATTTTTTCACTGGCTATTTGTAAGAAACGGCTAATGACAATGTCTTTGGCCTTGGTGGTCTCCATATTCCTCTCCCGTGATATCTGCATGCTGATTTGATCTACGTTAGTCATGATAAGCTCCGAGGCCAGGATCTGAGTGGGGGATGCCCTGTTTGCTGTGCTATCCATGATATATTGCTTATACAGTTCCACCAGCTTCTGTTCGAGGTAGTCGTTCAGGGCTGAGTCGGAGAGGGGCTGCTGGTGGGGCACTAAGCTCGCCAGCCGCCAGCATGAGGAGTAGCCTTGGGCCGGCTTACGGCTCGTGTCGCTGGAGGGGGGGACCCTCACGGACTCCATGGGGGGAGGAATCTCTGAGGACTCCAAGAAGGGCCCTATGCCGCTGTCGCAGGTAAAATCTGTCGTGACTGAGCTAATCGGCACCACGTAGTCCCCGGCTATATGCAAATCGTTGTAGTTCTTGCAAATGCTTTTGCAGGAAGATGGAACCAGGTAGGTGTCTTTTCTTGTCGGCCCTTCGCAGACATGCACAGCTGGAGATGGCTGCCCGGAGGGCACGGGGTGGTCTATAGGCTGTAGATTATCCTTCTGCTTTCTGCTGTGTTTGCTACCTCTAGGGCAGACTGAGGAAATGCACTTGCCAGAAGATCTGCACCTCTGAAGGAGACTTTTTCCTTGCCCTTCATCCATGGAAGAATAATTAATGGACCTCATTTCACACACCACTTCCTCAGCTGAACTCTTGCTGTAGAGCTCAGGGTTCAGGTCTTCACAAAGGTAGGCGATTCCATAAAGGTAACCTTCTGACAGCATCCTTCACCAAAGGAAGGGAACCACCAGCAGACAGAAAAAATGACAAGAAGAAACCATTAGTTCATTACAAAGTCACTGAGTGGTGATTACACTCACAAGTCTGTTACTAGCTATGGAGAGGTGTTTCTGATTTGGACATGAACAAGAGTGTCTCTGTCTTTCTAGAGGGCTTGAGCCATTGAGTAATTAGCTAGCCTCCCTGTTGGGCTGCTAATCACATCAAAGCATATTCTGTATAACATAATGTATGGCATGTCCAGTACATCCAATGACAAGTTAGTTGGGAAGAGAGGAACAAGAAGTGGTTTGTTGTGGTAATGGTTTCTGTAATAGCTTACACTTAAATGTGTGTATTTTTGCCTTTAGACTTCAAAGAAGCCAAGGGAGTTCCCCCTTTTTCTCATATCCTTTGAAGCAACATTTTTTGTGTGCGGCTTCTCACCTGCCTCTGAACTATGCTGATTTGAGATTCATATTGAGAGTATCACCCCTTCTGTTCCAGACTAATCAATGACTATAGATGTGGTTCCTTTCTCATTAAAATATCTCAGATCGTTAAACTAGCACTTTGCACTTCTGCATGCCAAGCAGGATGGAATTAACTGTCTCTAACTTTTAGACCAGAAAATGCCAGTGGCAAAAGCAAGGCTTTTTGGAGGCATGATTCATCTGGCCTGTTTTAGACACCTAAATCAAAATAAAATGAATTGTGCCCTGGATTTGCTTATCACTCTTTAGTTACTGTAAAAGGATCTTAAACTGACTACCTTAGATGTAGACATCTGAAGCGTACTTTTGAAGAGACGTATTTCAGTGCAATGCAGAGGAAAGTACACATTTCAGAAGTACCCCAGCTCCTTCAGTGTTGGATTATTCATGAATAGCACCAGCTCTGAAATCAGTTTCCATCGTGTTTCTACAAAGGCACAATCAGGTTCCAGCAGTCACTAACTCTCCCCACTCTCTGAGCAGGCAGCTCAGTCTCAAAAGCTGCATAGACATGTTAGTCATGAAAGACAGGACTCACACATGCATCTGCACCTCAGTAAATGTTCTGCCCAAGCTTTAGCAGCACCACTACCACAGAATTACTCTTAAGTCCACCTCTGTGTCTTTATTTTTAGCAGATGTCAAGGAGACAATGAATGGGAAAAACGTCCTAAAGAAATCGTGCGGTCCCGCAAGGAGAAAGTAAATCTTAAGTAAAAATAAATTTAAATTGTTTTTGTCTCTCCATAGTACAAAACAACATGTGAGATAGAGGAACAAATTACTTGTCTTTGTTTTAACAGCGAGTACTTTTCTTCATTTACTACTTAATGCTATTATATCATCCTAATCCTTAACGGATACTGTCTGTGCAGACATGAATGTATGTCCCAGTTATGTGACAGTTTGCCGGTCTATTTCAAAACACCCACTGTGACAGAGCACCAGAACGGGAACATCTTCCCACAAGCTGTGAATGGGGAGGTGGCATCTCTCTGGCACACGCTGCACTACCCCATGCTGCTGTTGACTTATCTTTTCCAAGAGTGAAAGGTCTCTCATTTCTTAGTGAAGTATTTAATGTTTCAGAGTTGATAGTGCAAAATGCTGCACTAATAAGAAATATTGGCTAAATTCTGTCTAAGCACAGGTATAGACTTGGCGTAGATGTTAGGAAGGAGACAGCATGAGAAAAGACTTTCCTCAGAGTGGGGGGAAATTACTTCCACACTATGAAGAAGGTTGGAGGGAAAATAAACTTCCTTCAGAAGGAAATTTCCGTTAAATTACTAGAAATTAAATGTGCCCAAACACTTGGTTTGGTGCCACTGGATTCTTTCGGCTGCTGCCAGTTGTGTGAGATTTCCCACAGGCAGGTAACATTTAATGAAAAGCAATCTATTTACACAAGACAGAAAAAAAAAAATCATATTTGAGGCTTGGCATTTCTTGCAGTATGCTGCTGTTGTCTTGCTTTATGTTTTAGCTGTGATAAAGGTGCCACCACAGATACCTTAGCCAAATGCTAGAGATGCTCAGTTTATCAACTCTTCCCACTCTCTCTTCTGCTTCTGTTCCCCCCGTCTGCAGTGCAAAGGCTGTTCCCTTCCCCCTATCACCCACAGCCCAGATGGCTTTGGTGTGAAGTTACCACTGACTTTGGCTATCATGAATCTGGAATTGTGATACTCTCATTTGTAATGTGGATTCTGAGAAATGAGTGGAAATATAACATATGGCCTGTTCACTGCTCTACCAATGTATGCAAAGCCAGTTGTGTTCAGGTAGCATGTGACACTTCTGTCTTTCCTCTTACCCAGATGTATCTTGTTTCTGTCATAAGGTGATGCATTAGGGAAATGAAACCAACGGTTTCATTTCTTTGCACTGCATTCTGTGATACTTATTTTAAGAGTTTTGGAGCACACTGTCTGAGACAGGCGTGGAAGCAAAAGAACTGGCAAATTAAAAAAGATTAGGCTCCTGTTGGGCTGGGGAGCTGTGTGTTTTGCTGAATGAGTTACAACCTTACCCTCTAAAGTTAGCAAGGGCTGTCACACTAATCTGACTATTCCCAGCTCTGCAAGGAAATCTGGCTGAAGTTTTGACAGGCAGTGTTGAGAGTCTGAATGCAAAAGAGAGGTGCATATATCTCTGGTCCTAGTAGTTAGTATAATACATAATCTTGTTGAGTTGCTACTCCATCACTACCAAGCTGGTCACACAGTTGTGTTACCTTTAATTCTTGCATTTTACATCTGATAAGGACGACATTTTTCATTAATTCTACTTTCTCATGCCCCTTCTCTTAATTCCATGACACAGATGCACGTATACACCAGGATTCCAAGTGCACAGGGATTATATCTAATGTCTTTCAATATTTTGGTTCATGCTCCTTAAATTCAGATTTCACTTCCTGCTTCCTGAAAATAACTGCATGCCTTCTGTTGCACAAGGAAAACCAGTCCCTTTTACAGTTCTGATCTGATGCATTTTGCATGTGAGGTGAACAAAGAGATTTTTCCATGTGTGGCTACTATCCTGGCAGTGGGAGCTGACTACATTCTATCTAAGCCTAGTGGAGACAGAGGGAGAACACTGGTGTATGCTGTCTTTTTTATCTGACATAGTCTTTACTACTGTCAGATGATCTTAAAAACTCATATGTCTTGCCTGGGGGTTTTGTGCAGTTCTTCAGCAGCAGAAAGGCCTAAAGGCAGGATGAATGTTTAAAGCCACGTGGAGAATCCAGTGGTATTTCCAGTATTTTCTGAGTGGCAGCAAATTTGCTGGGTTATAATGCTTGGAGACGGTGCCAATGTTTGTATAAATACCTTGGATTAAAGTCTGAGGACAGGCAAACAGAATGGGAGTTCTTGGCTCAGGAGAAGGAAAATGCTTAAGGAAAGCCTGAGAAGTGTACACAAAGAGATATGATAAATTGTGTCCTATATAAAAACCTGAGCAAGATGAAAAGTTGCTAGGGAGAACAGGAAGAATCTGGTGCCAGCTGGGATCACAGCTCAGTGGGGAAAGGGACATTCTTTTGCATTGCAAAAGGAGGGGATGGAAACTCATAGAAGAGACAAGCTTGTTTTGAATATGTCTGGCTTTCAGATCCCTGAGCAGGGCTCTGAATGGCACTAAAGTTGTGCTGCTGGTAGTTGGAGTCCAAGTTTTATCACAGTGTATGCCTTAAATTCTAGCTGACTTACTAGATGAGACCCCAGATGACAAAGTCTCCCTGTCTTGAGGGAACTCAAATCCTGTGGATCCACCTATAGTATTTTTTCCCCATTTTAAGAGACACTTTTCCAGGCTGTGAAGATACAGACAGATCCCTTCAGTGAGATTTGGGATCTACCTCAGACTGCAGGACATGCATGCAGGAGTTCACCTGGCAAGCAGGATAGGCTGGAGAGCAAGCCTGCACATGTTTCAGGACCCATATCTCACCTTCCACTGGGGCTGGTGTGAAACAGCTCCCAGAAAGCCTCAGTACAGCCAAATCAGGAGAGTGGAGAAGGTGGTATAATGAGCTATGCATATGGATGAGTATAGCCTTTCCTTAATGCCTGAAACACCCAGATCTTTGGTATCTGAATCTCATGTGATAAGGGCTATCTCCAGTGCTCAGGGCTGGCTGGGCAAAGGTAATGCTGATGACACTAAACTGCATGGTGAGGTGGACACATCAGAAGGGAGAGCCATCTTACAGAGAGACCTGGACAGGCTGGAAGAGTGGGCTAGCAATAACAGTATGAGGTTTAACAAAGACAAGTGCAAGGCTCTGCACCTGGGGCAACATAACCAAAGACCCCAGCACAGGCTAGGATCTGTGTGACTGAGGGGCAGCCTTGCTGAAAGGGATCTGGGGGTCCTGGTGGACAACAAGCTGAACACAGCTCAGCAGTGTACCACCACAGTGCCCTGGGCTGCATCTGCAGGGGCACTGCTAGCAGAGACAGAGATGTGATCATCCCACTCTACTCAGCAGTTCTTAAGCAACACCTGGAGTGCCCAGTTCTGGTCCTCACAATTTAAGATGTGGACAGACTAGAGGGTCCAATGGAGGGCCATGAAGTTGATCAAAGGGCTGGAGAACCTGCCCTGTGAGGAAAGACTGAAGGAGTTAGGACTCCTCTCCCCGGAAAAAGAAGGTGGGGGGATACCTCATGAAAGTATTCCAGTACTTAAAGGGCAGCTACAAAAAGTACATAGACTCTCTCTTCACAAGGAGCCACATGGAGAAGAGAAGGGGCAAGTTGCATCAGGAGAGGTTTCATCTCAACATAAGAAAGACAGTTTTTACAATGAGAACAATCAATGACTGGAACAACCTCCCCAGGGATGTGGTGGAGGTCCCTGGGTAGCTGGTGGTTTTCAAGATGTGACTGGACAGGGTGCTAGATAGTCTTACCTAGGCTCCCTTTCCCATGAAAGGTTGGACCAGATGATCTTTTGAGGTCCTTTCCAACCTGGGCTGTTATATGACTCTATGATAACAGTGGCTGCTATCTGAGGTAGGAGTTGGCCCACTTTGCCCATGGCAGAAGGGAAGAGGACTAGCTAAGAGGTGTTTTTGCACAAGCATCCGAATGCTACCCACTGCATATGTAACTTCCTCTCCCTGCTGCTGCCCTTGAAGGTCTGGGACCTGTGGGACTGTGCCGTGAGGCTCTTTCAGCAGCTGTCATGAGCCAAACCCCTCTTGTCCCCTCCCCACAGCTCTCTGCTCTGATCTGTTTGTCTTCCCACAGAAGGGAATATGAGCCCGGCTCATCTTGTTTATTCAAATGTCAGCAGTTCAAGAGATGCAGGAAAGCTAGGAGTACCTCTCCCACAGAGGACTATGGGCTGTCTTGGGGGGATCAAGTAGAGCAGGTTCGAGAGGATAATAATCCTACATTTCAAGAGTATGAGGGAATCTCCTTGAAGGACAGGCTGAAGGAAACAAGTGAGAAGAAGCATCTTCCCCAAGAACACATTATGCTTTTATATGTCTATTATACTGTTGAATATTCTTGTTATACAAGTGTCTACCCATTTTTAATCATTCTAAATGAAGCATCTGGTTTCTTTCATTTAAAAAAAAATAATGATTAGTGTATGTTTGAGTGCAGTTGTATCTTTAAGTGGACCTTGTGGGGACAGGTTTACATGAAAAATACAGTGAAAACTGTATGTGGGTAAATATAACTTCTTGACGTCTCAAATAATTTCCCATTCAAGTTTGTTTTATCAGTTTAAGTTCCTTGAAACTTCATCCAGAGCAAGCCTGGTTCATCTTCCACACTTTTCTTAAACACCTATGCCCATACAAAGACTTTTTTAGGACACCATCAGTCTGGTATCATAAGCATTTTACATCCCATACCCACAGCTGTAAGCAACATGAAATGTGAGGCATGAAAGGATCAGGCTCCACATTCATGAAGATGACTTGACTATGTAATATTTCTACATCATGCTTTTATGTCTTTCTGGGGTGAAAATAATTTCATGTTTCTGGATTTCTGTGTTTATTTTAATGAGTTGTTAGTTGTTGTCATGACTGAAATATATGGACTATATTCTGTATCTAAGCGTTTGAAGTAAAGGGGAAATAAATTCATGTGCGGTCTTATAGACAAGAATACACTTTCTAGAAGTTAAAAGAATAAATGGTAAAGCAAGAAAGACAGAAAAGGCTGAAGGGGTTTCCCAGGAGGAGTAGGGAAATGGTGAACCAACAAGCATTGAAACATTAGTCACAGCTGCTGTAGAGTATAAAAAAGAGAAGGGAGGTTGCATGTTGTCTGTGTACACCCATGTCAAGCTGTGAATTTGCAGTGAACCAGGAAATTTTCTGTGAATCAGGAAAATACAGTGATAAAGCATCTTTGTTTATATTTTTTAACATTATCCTGTTTTCAGAGAAGTCTCAGCTTTTTTTCTATGAACTTTTTGTTTAAATATGACGCCTATGTTTATCTATTATGATGCCTATTTTTTATTTCTAATCTACAAATAGAGTACTCCACTTCGAAGACATTACTTAGTATAGTAACATGCACAGAAAGATCAATAAAAATACCATAACTATGATAAAAGCAACACACCTAATAAGACTCCATTTAAAAGTATTCTGAAAAACATTTTTAGTATGATTTTATGAAAGACTTTAGAAATATCAGAGGAACAATTTTTTTGCATTTTGAAGTTGCACTGCAATCACAGTCAGCCATGGTTGTGAAGATGGCACTTTTTAAATGTTCTCATCACTTCTAAAGGCAGCAGAAACTGCTTGTGGGCAGTGGCTGAGACTGCAAACATGCACATGCAATCAAAACAGAAAAAGTACATCTTCATTTTACCAGCTACCAGCTGTGATCCCACACAAACAGAACTGAGCCACTCTGATAAGCAAGAGCAACATTTTCATACATTTATATATATAATGCATAGTATATTTTAATTCTTACCTCCGAAGTTACAGCAACTGACCAGGTAGAGAAAATTTGTTGTCTTCTAACCAGTTTAAAGCTTCCTGTGATTCTGTCCTACCCCAAAATGCAATGTTCTGTTTTTATTTCCTTTTTTAAATACACCTGTAAGATGACGTGTTTTATTTCTAATCATCTATAGCACACAAGTATAGAAAGAAAGTCCCCTAGGAAATGAGGGGGTTTTATAACTGACTGAACTGCAACACGCTGAACTTACTTCCTCTTTTATGTCTAAATGAAACTTCATTGTGAAACTGTACTGTTAAAATAGCTGATTGCAACACACTCAGTCCAGGCAGATGGACTTCTCTTTATTAACTGTTATACAAAAAGAAAAACCTGGTGAGTTGAACAGCTGGAACAATCTTAGATAAACTTCTCATTTGTTGGCAACTTAGAGCGTACCCCATTTCAACCGCTAGCTATCTGTTCTCCTTTTAATTGACACAGCAAGACATCTAGACATGTCAAGGCTGTCATGCCAAATAGGTAGGAAGAGTGAGATGCCAAAGCAGACATGCATTTCACAGGAGGTCTACTTCATTGTCTGCAGACCCTCGTATATCTCAGCTTCCACCAAGCAGCACAGCTCAGCTGGTTTATCAGGTTTTGCTGGGTATCTATCTGCAAAACCTGTCACCAGGGAAGTTAGACTCGAGGTACACTCAGTATCACAGTGCCTGCCATACCCAGGCAGGCAGCTTGTCTTAGCAGGGGCAGTATATGAAAATATGTTGGGCAAGCAGGAGCTCACCCGCCAAGCTTGAGGCATATGGTCAGTGAACACGGCTTTGAGATCGGTGTTGGAGTACTCCTTAAAGGACAGAAGGCAAGTACTGTTTGGAGGATGTAACTGGAATGTTTGAATTGATCCCAACAGGATGTACAGAATGTGCTTAAAAAGGCATCATCAGGCATCCATACATTGCAATAATAAATTTATTTTCATTCTCAGTGTATTTCAGCTTTATTATTGAGGACCTATTTTTTAATGTTTTCTTCTCAGAAGCCTCCGGTTCTGCCAGCTAGAAAACACATTGTAATACAATGCTGCTATTAACATAATTTTGCTAAATATTCACTGTGATATGATACATGATCAGGACTGGTATTCAAAGTCTTCTTAGCCATAGGCATGAAAAAAGTACCTATGCCAGTCTGGCCCTACCTACATATCACTAGCTAATTCATACAACAGTTTGATCAAATAATATTGTACCCAGTCATATGCTGTGCTAGGATCAACGACATCTAAAAAGCACAAAAATTGGACAAAATTGGCAATTAATGCAAATATCAACATATATCTTTGCTGTAAAAGTGTTCCCTGTGGAAACAAGGCTCCTGTAGTGACAACTCTTTTATGCTTAACACTAACATTAACTTTATTGTATTTTTTTTGTCTGATCCTTCATCAGTACTATGGACAATCTCAGGCCTTTCCAGATTTATATGGGTCCAACACTTTTTTGGGTTTCCATATCTGGTTGAAATAGTATTGAGGGGAGCTAGAAATAAATCAACAGGAAGGTTTGCCTCTTCTGTAGATCCAGAGATCTCTATATACAGAGGAGCTCAGTATTCCTAGTTAGACTGTTGGGAAACAACTTTGGCAGTATAAAAAAGCATTTCTGTAAAGGTCCTCAGAGAGTTTTCAAAATATATTTTAAATCATCTAAATCCATGTAAAACCAGCAGATATAAATGGACAGATATTTGGAAGTAAAAAGTGCTTCCACAGCTAGAAAGGCACAGCTATCCAGAACCACTGAAAAAACAATCTACTTTCATAGAGATACCTAAATATGGATTTAAGACGTACCTTCAGTCACCTAGATTTGGAATAAAAACAAGTCGCCTTTTCTCTTCCCAGTCATGCACATGTAATGTTTTTAGTGCTCTAGAGGAAGTCAAACACTGTCTGTATTTCTGCACGGTAGCTATGTGTGCCTATGGAAGGAAGATGCAGAGCTGTCATTTCTTGTCATATAAATTGCTTATTAACATCCTGACAGTCTAGGCTTTGGACACACTCATTTATTCTAGTGACCTTCTCCATGTTCACTCATGACCTTGGAAGGGCTATCCTCACCTAAGCAGCATTGTCCTGTATGAATTTTGACGCTGTGGTTTATCAACTGCTCCGAGTGTAGCACTCTGAGGGCCAGATTCAGAGCTGAATGAGTTGGGAGACTAATACAACATAGCGGCACCTGACTCCTTTTGCAAAGATCCCTGCATGTGCTGCCCCTCCTGCACCCAGTGAATAGTTGTGAGAGGGAAAGCTTCTGCACCCTAGGGAGTCATTCAGTCAGTCTCTTCATCTGTAAAAGTTGCTCAGATTGTCTGAGGACACACCAACTTATTTTTGTCAGTGTGCTTTGCTACAGCAAGTCCAATGCATCAAGAATGTGTTATCCCCACCCCCCAAAAAATAAAAGAAAAACTTTTCAAGTTGCACAATTCCCTGTTTCCTTCTCTACCACATTCTTTATAGTCCCAGGGAGTTTCCTCTAGGAAACTGCTTTAATTTTGACCCTATCTTAGCTTTTTATTGCAGTTCAAGAATTTATTTTCAAAACAAATCTGCCAGTTGTATGCCCTCACTGTGCTTTGCTTTGCCTCTTGAAGCATGCGAAGCAGAATCCTTTCAGATGAAACTCAGCAGGAGGACACACCAGAACCATACTTGAAATTTGCCATGGGCAAGTTTCCTCATGGGCTTTCATGGGACCACAACAGAGCTAGTCCAAAATAACCTCGCCAGAACACACATACCATGGAGGTCGGGTTTCAGCACCAGCTGTTTCTCTGTCCGCATCTGCTCCGAATGTGGTGCACTATTGGCTGATATAAGCAGAACAGAAAAATGCTGTCAAGAGACTCATCTATAGGATAGTACTAGACAGTTTATCATTTCTACACTGAATAACCCTTTCCCACCAATTCCATTCAGATGGCATGTCTCAGTATGTTGTAACTGATAACGCCACACTGCCATAAACATGACAGAAAGCTGAAGTTCCTTCTGTATAGCTATAGGCTCTACCACAAAGGTTCAGTATAAATAAATCTCTGCTTAGCCTTGGCCTGTTTTGTTAAAAAGCGCAAAGGCTGCTGCCTCTCACTTGTAGGTGATATGTTTGTATTCTAGAAATTATAAATTGAGAGCCTCCGAGAGGACCAATATTCCATAGCTTTTTGTTAAAATTAATAGTAGGAATAAGTGCAGAAAATAAATCAACTTTCCTGAACATATATTCAAGCAGGTATGTACACAGTAAGCTCTATCAGGGTATCAAACAATTTTAGATCTTTGGTATGTCTATACCATTAATTAGGAATTTTGAAATTCAGGTTAAAGATAACACCTTAAGATTATCACGTAGTTTATAATTACTTTGTGCAATATGAAAAAAGGGATATTTTGAATCTTTCTGGTCTTTGGAAGTGAAGAGGTTATTGGAAGGAGATAAGCACATTATCCAGTACTTCATCATAAAGAACAATCATGAATGATTTATGTTCCTTACAGCAGCAAAATCAGTTATATTTCAAGCTTCCCAGTGTGCCACACTTGATTAGAGCCTGAAACTCAGTTTCCAATGCATTAATTACACCAGTATAATCGATTATTTGAGTAAAACATCAGTCTTTAAACAGGGAAGAAGCCTTGATTGTACACAGTATTTTCCTCTTTCTTCTTCATTGCTGGTAGCAGAAAATAGATCAATATAATTTTCTAGGTAAAATGTGAGGATTCCCATCTTCCAGATGAGTGCCAGGTAAGTATGGGTTTGAGGTATCCCAGGCTGAAGTGAATCTCCTGGATAAATTACTCCAGCCCTCCACCAGTTATGTGGAAGAAAGGTGGTTGTAGCACCATCCTCCTCTTGGCCACACACTTCCGAGGAGACAAAAAAGGGGAATGGATGCACAGAGAGCCTTGCTGCTCTGGAAAAGGCAGGAGAGTTTTGGTGCCCACCTGTATTTACTGCTTCCAGCTACCCATGGCCAGTGCCAGCCCAGGCAGCACCAAGGAGTCTGGCTGTGCTTGGGGCCCAGAGCCTTACCTCCAGGAACCCACATCAGGGAGCACAGCACCTTCCACATGGCTAAATCAATCCAGTTTTGCACCCAGAGTTTGAGACTTCACAATGAAATAGTCATTTCATCATACAAATGACCACCAAATCTTTTGATTATCTACAGAGGCAAAGGCCATGAACTTCCTGGTTTCTTGTTGCATTACAATATGCTTTTTGTACTTCAAGTGACAATATACTAGGGAACATCTGCTGCCTTAAATGTTCCTTCTAGTCAGTAAAATTTACAGTTTATTCTTGTGTTAAATTTTGTTTCTTTTTTGTGGGTCACATAAATATTTTAGTTATATCCAGTCATCTCTACAGGTTCGATGTATGTGAAAATCAAGAAAAAAAAAAAGCAAGGCCTTTAATATAAGAAAATTATAAGCAAGACCACAGCACCCTCTGATAAAATCTCAAAGGCCAAGGGGAGTTTTCTATGAGAAAAGACAGCAGTATTGGACATGGCATGTTGAAGCTGTTTGCTGTTCTACACTACGTTCTCAGCATTAGTCTTTTCTAGTAATGAATAGTCAGTTAATGAAGTCTTTTCAGTTCATGTTCTTTTCTCCTCTCACTAGTTTACATGAACTAAGAGACTGGTCTTGTCACAGTTCAGAAATCTTTCCCTTCAATCTCAACCTCTCTTCATTCATAATCCTTTATTTACCTTTAGTGGTCACTGTTTGGCCCATCTTTTTTTTAATGAAGGTTATAAATAATGCTGCATCAATGTATTCTGAACAAAGAAACTTACTGTACAAGTGACCCTGTTGATGGCACAGAGTATATTGTGGTTTCCGTGCATAACCACATATGGGCACATAAGCGTATAAGCACGGTTATTTAGTCTGCAGTGCATGAATCACAAGTGGCCTGTAAAGCATCAGAAGGTAGTGTGCTGGCAGGACTGCCCTCCTTCCATTGTCAATGTCTGGCCAAAAGCCAATAAACTTTTACTTGTTCCTCTTGTTTCTTTTTGTTTGTTTGTTTGTTTTTTTAACTTGTAGCATATTAACTTAGAAATTGATGGTTTTAAACAAACAAACAAGCAAATCTAAATGCCACCTACTTTTTAACACCCCTCTAGCCTCAAAAATAATGAAGAGAAAAGGTGGTCCACAATGTATAGATGCACAGATATATGTATTTACTGAAATACCGATGTACACCACAAATACTGTGTAGAGCTTGCTCTCTGCTGCTGACTGAAATACTTCAGGGTATGATGCATTCCAGCCAGCAGCAGAATGGAGCTTGAAACTGCAGTAGGCAGGGTAGAGTGCAAACCACAACTACTCTTTAAACAATGAAGCATATTCTCCCCATCTCACCAGCCAGCTCGGCTAGAGGGTTTATCAAGCAGCTATAACCCTACTTATGTTTGCACCTTCTGGATCTTTTTAGGGAGTCTTCTGGGGTCATTTTTTAAGCTTTCCCGGATGCAAAAACATCAGTTCTCCTCCTTTCATAGAATTTGTGGTAGGCCTCATCCATTTCTTTAAAAGTTCATTTTCAAAGAGGAAATTCAACAGTGACTTTTTGTTTCTGGATTTTTCCTCAAGATGCATCATTCCTGTGTAAGTATCTAAACTTTCAAAACATGTATATATAATCTGAACAGTTGGTGGCTTCCCCCAATTTTAGTTTTATTTAATGCTTTTCATACATTGAAAACTTCTTTAAATGCTTGAAAATCATATAAATAATTTCAGCAACCAATGTGAAAAACAATTCTTAATTATTATTTTTTATTTGTAAACCTGCGTGTGCATAGCAAGTAAGAATGATCAAAGCTAGTCTCAGGTGGCAAACAAATAAAACAGCCATCCCAGATCCCTGCGTTTCAAAGCGTGTCCTCCAGATTAAAATCGTGCATGAGCCCCTATGTCAGATCACTCCCTGCAGCAGGAATCCCCCAGGGATGTTATACTGCATCCTTTGCTTCAGGAGTCTGAAATGATTACTGACATGCTTCACTTAATTAAGTAGCAGCTAATTACATTCTATGTACCAGATAGAAAAGCACATCACTGGATTAGTGATAAGACTAAACAGTAGGTCTGGGATGAAATATTTTTGCTGCTTGGAATGTAGTTCCACCTTTTATCGAAGGAGTCTTTCTACAGATGCATGTCTAGAGCAGAGTGCAGCTGCCCACAACACCATCCTTGGAAGAGGGCAGCAGAGCCTGAAGTTGTTTTACCAATGTTGCCAGCACGGGGTGTAGCCTACTTTTCTCTCCTCCCCTTGGCTTTCTTCCCCCAAGCACCTTTTTCTGCTTTTTTGCCTCTGGGTGAGCTCTGGATTCCCCTCTCAGCAGGTCTTCAGATTTAATCATTTCTAAGCCTGAACAAATCCCAGCTGATAAGAGGAGGAGCTGCTTGTTTCACCTGCATGCTTCTTGAGAACAAAGAAGAATATTCATCTCTGCAGGACTAGCTCAGTACAATATTGGCAGTTTTCTTCCTGGCTTTCTGTCAGATTCCCACTGGGGCTATACAGACTCTCTGGATAAATCAGGATTTTCCGTGTAATTCCAGAGGAGGAACTAGTTAATTATATTATAAAAGTTTCAAATTATATTTCCAAAGGCAACGCAGATAGGCTGGAACGCTGCCTACCTGCATAAAATCCTGTCATATGATGCACACTCTTAATTCCAATGCTTGCATTGAGTCTTTGTTAAAAATAAATCATGCGTCATGCTGCTAATATACTTCTTGGTTCAGTGACAACTAGCCACTAGTGGTGAGACTTTAAGATCAGGCAAAGAGCTTTTAACTGGAAAACGGGATTGAGCAATAGATGGGTTTTTCTTCCTTTTTATTTTTTTTTTTTTTTAATATACTTCAGTGTAACATAATAAAATCTGAGGCAGTAGGGCTACTAAGAAGGGATTTTTTTGATAGTGTATCAAAATACCACAAAAATTACAGAAACCCAAGAGGTATTGCAGAGGTCTGGTTACATCAGGTATATTGGCATATGTCTGTAATTTCCAGGTAGAGCCATCCAGGGATAACTGACTGGATTTCATGTATCCTTTTCTCGAGTACTGGCTCTTAGTTTGACTCTGATTTCCACATCCCCCACTTCTTATTCCCCCATCTTTCCAGCAACCAAGCTTTTCAGCTATCCCAATTTCTTGGCCAATAACAATCCATTGAAGATGATGTTTGAACTCAGACACTGCCTTCAGGAGGTTTACAATGGAGATGATCAGGGAAATCTGGAAGCAGCAACAGAAAAATCAGTTGATCTGCTGAGTATTTTTAACAAAGTAATAGTAGAAAACCCTCCTGCACTTTGGTCCACAAACCAGGTGACAGCAAACCACTGTCTGTGGTTTTGTTTGAGTGAGGTATTCCTGGGCAACCATAGCATGAACAAACAATATAAGCAAAAGCACCAGATGTGACAGGCTGGAACAATCGTGGGCAAGACATTGGTTCTGTCTGCTAACTAAGAAATGATGCTCATCGCAGTTTGCTGCTGAAGGCATCCAGGGGTATGAGACCTGGCATGAGACCCAGAGGGGTTGAGAGGGAGGAATAGTACCACGAACAAGTTTCGGAAAAGCAGACTGAAAGCTAATTGTTGCTGAGTTGATTTTTTGAGAGAGATGGTTTCTGGTAAGGGACAGAAAAATATTAAGTTGAGCAATTATAAAGGCATAGAGAGCTGAGGAAATTTTTTTCAGATGGTGGCTGAAACTGAGATTTTGCAAGGAAAACTGATAGCAAACAATTATTTAGTTACATAAATAAGAGGAAAACAATTTAAGAAAAATGGTTCCAGTGTGGTTTCTGAAAACAACAAATGTATTTTTTTTAATGTAGAACTCAGTGAGTTAACGAAAAGTGTATGTTTGATACGGTGCTTCGAGGATTTACTGAAGATACATATATATATTCAGAAAGACTGAGGCAGAAACAATATGAAGATTTAGGAATGAGGCAGAACACTTTGAATTAAAAAATTGAAATTGTGAGCCACCAATGTGTCCTTGTAGAAGGAAGGCCAGTATCACCTTGTGCTGCCTTAGGCAGAGCATTCCCAGCAGATTGAGAAAGCTGATCTTTGCCCTCTGCTCACCCCTGGTGAGACACATCTGAAGGGCTGGGTCCAGTGCTGGGCTCCCCACTATGAGACACGGAAATACTGGAGGAAGCCCAGTGCTGGGCCACAAAGGTGATTAGGGGACTGGAGTACCTGATGTAAGAGGAAAGGCAGAGAGAGCCGGGACTGCTCAGCCTGGAGAAGAGGAGGCTCAGGGGGATTTATCCATGTGCATAAAGACCTGATGGGAGGAGTAAAGACAGCAGAGCCAGACTCTTCCCAGTGACAGGACAAGAGGTAATGGACACAAACTGAAGTACAAGAAATTTCATGTAAACTTATGATGCTTTTTTTGCTGTGAAGGTGGTCCAACACAGTAACGGGTTGCTCAGAGAGGCTGTGGAGTCTCCATCCTTGAAGATACTCAAAAGCCAACACAGCTATGACCAACCTGCTCTCGCTGACTCTGCTCTAAGCAGATGTTTGGAGCAGATGATCTTCACAGGTGCCCTCCTGTCTCAGCTGGTCTGTGATTGTGGTGGAAAATATAGTATTCCGTACAAAATGCAAGCAAGTATTTCTCTGCGAATGTTTGTTGCTACTGCAATATAAATTAACAGTAATGTGTGAAAACACATTGATACGATACAATACACAAATATGTGTGACTGGAAGCACCACACTATAGAAAAAAGCGGGGTATGAAACTAGACACAGAGGTAACAGAATAACCACAAAGGAGGAAAATGGAGACTAAAGGTAAAGAAAGATTTTTGTGCTCAAAGCAACTTTTGATATTTGATAATTTGGGCTACATTGTCAACATTGCCAACATCCTCTATGTTTCTGAATGAGATCTGTAAATATTACATAACTACTTTTCTCAACTTGTAAAATCATTCAGTAAGCAAGTACTAGTTTAGATAACACTTTCAGGAAAATAAGACAATCTCGTGGATTTAATTACACAAAAGGGAAACAAATTCAAGTGATTTCAGTAACCAATAAGCAAAATTGGAAACTAAGAGAAAGCTAATCAAAGCAGCTGGTCACAGGCCAAGTGATTACATACCCATAGTAAAAGATATTACTGGAACAAGTCTGAATGCTGGCATCAAGAATTCCAAAATTGCAGTGAGATTTCTGAAAATCAACAGAAGGTAAGAAACTTACAGTTCAGGACAGTGTGGATGACAGGTTTTTGTTTGTTTTAAAAAGCAAATATGAAACCAGGAAGAGTAGGAATAACACATACTAAACTGAAAAGTTTAACTCCTAAATCAGTATTAAGGAATGTTTATATCTTTCTAGGCATACTAGAAATAATGAAAAAATATTTCCTGTGCTGTCAGGCAAAGTTGGTTATTTAATTTTTTTTTAATTATTTCATTTTATTGGTTTTATTTTGCTGCTTTTTTTTTCCTTTAAAATGTTTATCTTTTATTTTGTGTTAGGTAGTTGGCATCTTTAATGAATTGATAAAGATATTTATTGGGAAAGAACTAGATAAATCAGAAGTGAGAGGTGTTTAGTATTTGTGCCATTTCTACTTTTTGTCTCGTACCACAGCAAGCTGCACAAACATCATTACTTATATGACAGAAACTGTAACTTAAAATTTACAGTGACCCTACAGATATCTGTATCATCTTCAAACTGAGGAGCCATTCATACTGTCAGCCAAGGCAAAATAAAATAATAGATGTAAAATAATTATACACACCCAGATGCTGTGATAATGAACATTTAGCATCAGAGCATAACTCACATTCTGCTATGGATTTACTGTTACAGGTAACCAGGAAATGTTTCACAACATCCCTGACTCACCCATGTGTGATACACAATGGAATCTATGGTCACAGAAATTTGTACCTCGCCTTGTACCAGAACGCGGTATTTTAAACCCTGCACTGTGATGTCCAGGCAAAACTCAGGATTAAGGCTGCTCGCTGCCCTTAAAGCAGGTTGTTTGCTTCCACTCACAGACTCTGGACTGCAGAGAAAGGTGGTCATATTATAGATAATGACCTCTCATAGCCCTAAGGAGCTCTAGAATATGACTGCTAAGGTCAACTGTATGAACAGAAGACCTGTTTTTTTAAACTGAAGTGTTTGAATCAGCTACATCACTCTAAAGGAAAGACTGGGAGGGGGCCATATCTCTGTATCTCCCCAGTTACATCCCACAACTTCTCCACAGACCCAGCTGTATCTCCAGCATGAAGCACGAGCTCTCCTGAAGAGCAGAAGCTGCTTGATCACCACCTTGCTGCCCTCCAGCTGTGGCTAAGGAGAGGACAGAGAAGAGAGATCTTCAGCAATTCTGTTGCTGGCTTTCCTGACAAAGCAATGTGACCTCTGGGAAGAACTAAGCAGGTCTGACACAGCAATTGAAGGGCACTCCCCACCCAATATGCAGCTCTTAGAGCAGCCCGAGAAAGAAGAAAAACTACCAGCACCCTCATTCACAACCCTGTCAGCTACATATTGATACAATCTGTGGTGGTAGGCTACGGTCCTCATGAAATAACGTGGAAGATGGAGGAGAGGGAGAGGGGACTTTGTCCTGTCATCAAAATATGATTGTTATAAAACCATTTAGGAATTGAGAACTTTTTTTACCTGCAGATTGGAAGAAATCATCCTTTTGCAATTTTTCTCACTTCTCCAGCCCTCAGGCCCACAACCACAGATGATGATTGGACCCGCCTGCTGCAGGTAGCATGGCTCATGTTTAAAGGCACAAAGGTGAGAGGAACAGTTTAGACCTCTTGATATTTGCATTAGTGAGGTAAGACATATGTTCTAAGATTTGCTCAGGAATGGACACCTCACCCTTGAACTGCTTCTTCGGCAGAGCACATTCCAGTTCCTCATTGCCTCCTGAGGTAAATGAACTCAGCATTGCTCATAAAATTGTAGAATGAACTTTCCCATGACCAGTGAAATTTGTTATAAACAAGATAGTCTCTGAACTCCAGTCAACAAAAGAGAGGCAGAGCGACTGTAACAAATACAGTATCCACACACCAGCCTCTCTACATGCAGAAGGACACAATACATTCAGGGAAAACAGCTTCTCACCTTTCTTCCACAACAGCCTTTTCTTCAATGAGTGATTGTGTATCAGATTCCTTTGGGAGGCTGGCTGTTTAAAGTTTACCTGACAAGGGATTTTTGCACAGCCAAAAGATAGTGTGCAGGGTGTTTCTTTCAGGAGATATTTTCTGTATAACAATATAAATCTGATCTTCAAATTTTATGGGACTGGCCTTGAGAAAACCTAATATTCCAAGCCAAAAATAACTTATCCGAGTTAATCCATTTTAATAAAAAAATCTTTCCTTTATTTGCCAAAATATATAGCTCTGAACTGATTTTAAAGCATCTGAAATGTTCAGTGCTTAATTGTTATGCAATTCTTAAATCCTTCCTCTCCTCCCCAGCAAGCTGTCATGAGAAATACTCTTTGTTAGCTGGGATCACCTGTTTCACATACGCTGTCTCAGTTGTCAAAATGATAAAAAGTAAAACCTTCTGCTGACATGTATAAGGAAAACGTAGCATTTCAGCCACAGAATAGCTCTTTGTTTTATATCAGCCTTCTAATTATTACAAAATTTTAAGAGGAAGAGTTAAAAAGAAAATAAAAATCAGTCCTTCCAGGAGAAGATATGGAAAAAAATCCTTTTATTTGGATGTTATGTCCTCTGGGAGCTTAAGGAATAGCATAAGTGAATCACCAGGGGAAAAAAAAGGTGGGTTTACTTAATCTTAGAAGAGGGTAATGAGGTGACCTTCTGAGTTCCCACCCAACCTTAAATTATTCTGTGAAAATTAATGGCTTTAAACTCTTAGAAAACCAGTTATTACTTTATGCTATTTGATATATATTGTGGTATTATTTTAATTATAATATCTGGAAATATTGTATTATTACATTAAACTTTATGTGGTTTTATATTATATATAATCATACACCTAGTAAATCATGTATTTATATATATAATTAAGAATTACAATTACTTAATATAATTTATTTTCAAAGTTCACCTCATGCTCTAAAATATTGTTGTGAATTAATTAGAACTGTACTTCCCTACATTTCAAATGTATCTGAGATTTCTAATATTCTCTGTCCTCTTTTGTTTTAGCAGACTCACATGCTCCACCATTAATCATCTGAGAACTTTGTACAAAACACACCACAGAAGTAGTTTTTTCTGTTTACTCATTGCTTATCTTGTTTACAAAAGTACAGCAAGCAAAGATAGTAAGCAAAGATATCCAAGAGAAATTCATTTTGATGTTAAAATTTTAATCTAATTTATTTCTCAAGCAAGCAGTGACAAAGCAAAGCAAAGCAAACGCACACAAACATCAAACACATTTTAGGGCATCCACGGGAGAAATGCCTGTGTCCTTTCCTTCTTAAATTCACTGCAAAAGCTTCCATTGACTGCAGGGGGAGCAAGAATTTTCCTAAAGTATTTCTGAAATATTCAGCCGTGGTGCACTGGCTGTGCAGTGTCTTGGTCATTAGCCAGACAATTACTTCTGCATAGAACAGAAATAATAAAGTACATCTATAGCATATGAAATCAAACTGAGCAGTGTGTTGCCTCAGGCTGACTCCCTGTCCCAAACAATATGCTAGAAATTAATGTATAAAAGAGCCTACAGTTAGCAATTACATTTCTTTGTATTATTATACCAAAAATATAATCTCATACAGAATGAACAGTCAGCTATTAATTTATCTTAGAATAGGAACCTTATAATATTATTATAAAGGTATTTTTTCTACTTTTGTAATAAGTAGATTAATTTTACCCCTGCTACATTGTTAATCATCTGAATGTCTAGCCTTATTATTTTATCTATGCTCCTATTATCTTTTGTCCTGATAGCCTCAATAAGGAGTATATACAGATAAATCACTCTTTTGTAGTCATTAGAATATTAAATTGCATAGAAGAATCAGCACAGCTTCTAGAAGTTCACATGCTCACAGGAATGACTCACAAACAAGGCAGCTGGAGCAGTTTCCACCCTAGCTCTCAACTCTGCCCCTAAGGATCTGCTCCTGCAGAAGTGTGTTGTAACCTGGAAAGAACCAAATGCCTATGAGCAGGGTGTTCTGATAATGGACTAAGAGCATTACTGGAATTAGACAGAAGTTAATAACAAGTAGCTGCAATATGACTATGTAAGTACCTTTTGTTAACGAACCACTGCTGGGTAGACTGAAATGTCAAAGGCCCTGGAATATGAGGGAGTAACATGACTACGGTGTGCTGCACTTACCAGGAACTTACCTCGGGGAATCGTGAGCAGGAAACTATGTTTTGAGGTATATTAAAGAAAAACAAGAACCTGCTGTTGGAAAACCAGTCAGTGTGTAAGATTCACATAATGTGACCGTATGCAGAACTACATAATAACCTACTGAAATACCCATAACTGATTGCATAGATGCAGCCACCTTTACGTTGCATATATAAGCCTGTAACAAACACCTGCTGCTGCACAAATGCCTGTGCTTCAGAATCCAGTACACAGATCTGACTGCTCTGGGTGCCTGCAGCACTACGGATGTGTTGCCTCATGGTCACTCCAGGGAAAGACACCCCTTACATTTGCCTCTGGCCCCCCACCCTGCCCTTCCAGCTTGGCTGTAACCCAGCTGGCTCTGACAGAAGCAGGTATTTACACTCGTATTACCCTGGGTTTCCTGGACTGCAGCAGGCTGGTTCCTGTGCTGGGTCAGGACTGTGTGGTGAGCAGTTCATCCTCGCCTTCCAGCAGAGGAGTAAGAATAGCTGAACCAGTCACTCTTTCAGACAAGTGATTTTCTTTTTGTGGGTCGTACTCCTCCACTACTGCACCATGAGAAAGCACGTTCTTTCGTTTAGCTGTCCTAAATAATGCTTAAGATATGTAATCTCAGCAGATGCTCAGAAAGCACACAATAAATTATCAAAATGTCAAATTCAGTCTTTCAAGATCAGTCCCCATGTCCACTTCCTCTTTGGGTGACTAGGCTTCTTGCTCTAATGATATTTACTAGACATATTTCAACTTTCTTATGCTCTCCTCTGGATATTCTCCAGGTTTTTCTACCTCACAACCTCAGTTATTTGCTGCTGCTGAAGAGCACTTTTCTCTTGGGCAGCTTCGTTGACAGCTTCATCACTAGCTTGGTTAGCTTCCTCCCTGTCTTTTTCTTGCAGTTTATTTTAGCAGATTCCATCTGAGAGTTGATTCCCTTTCTAGAGCTGGGTGGTTGTTTTTTTTCCCCCATAAACACAGCTTTGAGGTTCTGCTTTGGCAATTTCCAAAAGAAATATATGGAGTATCTTCCACATTAATATAAAATCCAATTCAATTCCCAATTCAAAGACAGCAAGTTTGAAAAGTTTGGTGTCCCCAGGTTACATAGAAAATGATTTTTCTGACTCATGAAGAAATTTGTACATTATACATGTCTGTCTCTATTCCTTTGAACCTAGAAAACTCCAAAATAGAGAGTGCAAGCTTCAGGAATAGCTCCTGCAGGTGCATGCCATCACATCAGTGTCAGACTTTGGTGTCAAAAAGGATCCACTACTGTGGATTAGTCCTTCATACCCTGGTCCCTGGAAGCATTGGTCAAACAGAGACCTCCTGATCTGACATCTCCTTCCACAATTTCTCCCAACTCCTGACTGCTGACTGAAGATGTCAAAGAACCTTTGGTTTCTTAATATCCAGTTGCCAATTCAGAAGGTTTCAGGCTAGGCTTCAAAGCCCTTCACCAATAACGACAAGGCCTTGAAGAAGATGTAAAAGAAGAAAAGAAGGTTCAAGTGCTTGGCTTGATTCAGCCACCAGAACTGTTTACAGCTCCTGCCACATCAGCTAGTACTGATGAAAGAAAGAAAGATATATATAAAAAAAAAAAAAAAAAAAAAAAAAAAGGGTTACTAAGAAGAAAACCTTCTAGGTTTTCTGCAGGACACAGTCTCCAGGATTCTTTTAGAATCACACTTAAAACTTTACATCTCTCAGTCCAGCTTTTTAGGCACATACTGACACTGCTCCCATCAGAAAGGAAAGGCTATGGGGCAGGGCTTCTTCTGACACCAAGGCTAGGACTGTCCGGGGCTCTCCTCTTCCTAGAACTCCAGCAGAGCAGAGATGCTTCTCACGCAAGTTTTTCAGCCTCTTCTGTCCTGGTAGTGGCGCTGATCAGTCCTGGATTCTGCAAAGCCCAGTCCTCTTCTGCACTTCTGAACACTGCTTTTTTTCCTGAAAATGGACCATTTATCCCCAGTATCAGTCAGAAAGGAGTTCTCACCCTACATCCAGAACCCCTAAATTCACAACATAAATTCAGGGTACTTTCGTAAACTCTAGTGAAAGTTATTCCCAAATGTTATGGTACTGCTGGAGTCAGCAACACTAAACAAGGTTTATAGGACAATATCCAACATCCAATCTCTTCAGAATGTCTATACCTATCAGTCAGGCTCTGCTAGACTCTTCTTACCTACTCAGTGATCTTCTGCAGAAGTAGTGGACTGTAAATATCAAGTCCTTACTGGGAGTACAGAGTTTTTGTTTAAACACTCACCCTCTTCTTTCATTTAGGGAAATAGCTAGAAAACTCAAATATACATTAAAAGATTAGAGCCATAAAAACAGGGGAAAAGTTTTAATCTGGCAGCAATTCTTAAATCTGGGTTATCCAGTTACGACATCAAACTTTGCTCCTAGGTCTTCATTCCTTTATTTTGAATCACCTGTGTAGTTTATACATCTGTTTAATTATTAATCAAGTAGCAATTTCTACCCATTCCTCAGCTGTTAAAAACTGACACAAAAGTTAAAAACTCAAGCAAAGACATGTCCTATGCTCCTCTCCTGGCAAGAAAATACTTAACACTGTGATATCTGAGGTTGGGATATGCATTACTTCTGAGTCCTTGATGACCTGGATATGGAAGTAACCATCACAGTTAGCAGCAGTTCCACTTGCAATGTAGGTGACAGGTACTTACGGAAGATCATTCTAACAAGCCCATTTTTCTTCTTTCCCTTCACATACATACCATGCTTCTGTGTAAGAATGTAGCCAAATTTACTAGCACATTGCTTGAAATTGTATGCTTTCCTAGCCCTCCAATATCTAAAATGGAAGAATCACTGTACTCCTTGCATGTCCGTGGGGCTTTGCCTTTTTTTATTTCAAAACTTTCAGATGCTCTCCAGTATCGTTAGTCCCTATTGCTAACAGCCAGCACCACAGAGGTATTTTTGATTTGGCTATTTAGGGCAAAGGTGACATCAGTGACTGACCATCTCAGAATGATCTTGGGAATGTCTCCATCTACAAAATCTATAGCTTCTTCATTAAACTATTGTAGGCACTGAAGAACTACACAACTGCTAGAGCATTTGGAAACGGTGCAGGTAGTGGCAGCAGTCCTGAGGTCATTGTTTGCTTGAAGTACTTTTATTGTTTCAGATTCTGCTTGGAGACATGTCACATGGAAACTGGCATGATGTTCCTTTCCAAAGAGGTTGTTTAGCCGCAGCTTAAGTTTCTCGAGAACTGTAACCCACTAGTACACTAGCTTCATGCTCTCCTCTGTCTCTGTTTCATATTCCAACTTGTCTCTGTTTAGATTACAAATGGAGAGGAACTGAAAGCATGTGTCTGATGTCTACCTAGACACTTGTCATGGAGTCAAAGGGAACAGAGCTGGAGCATGGCTACAGGTACTCAGTACTGAGTGCTTGTTACACTCACCCACCCTCAAAAAAAGTCACAGAACCACAGAATCATGTGTGCTGGAAGGAACAACTGGTCCTACCTCCTGTTCAAAGCAGGCCCAGTTACAGCAGGTCGGTCAGGCCCTGCCCAGCTGCATTTTGAGTATCCCGAAGGATGGAGAATTTACAGCCTCCCCGTGCATCTGTTCCACTGTTTGACAACTCTTGCCTGTGTGGGGAAAAAAGTTTTTTTTTAAAATTGCTTATTTCTAGCTATCCCTTATAGCTAAACAGAATTACATGTGTTCCAACTGGTGTCTCTTCCCTCCAGTCCT